CCCTCCTTTCTTGACACCTGGTCACTTTGACCCCATTTGGTGGGGGCAGCTTCCAGGATTGAGAGTCCTCCATCCTTGGGGTTTTGATGAGGACCCAGGGGTGCTGTCCCAGAGGCTTATGGATGGGGCTTCCTCTTGGTCTCTGCCTGCTATGGGCCATGATGTCTTTCTTGGGGTTGGGAATAAGAATTTGCATTGGAATGATTCTTTTATTTTGAAGTTGAAAAATTCTCTTTGTTGTTTTACCCAATCAGATCTTCCAAAAGCTCTAATGTTTACTTGTGACCAGTCAGGAGAGGCTGGACTGGATGCTGAGGCCCCAACCTCCATCTCAAAATTGCTCTCACTGTCACCAGTTTAGATTTCACTGAACTTCCCGGCTGTTAGTGTGCAAAAGGAGCCCTGGCTGGTGTCGCTCCGGTGATAGAATGTCAGCTTGTGGACTGAAAGTCCGGGTTTGATTCCGGTCAAGGGCACTTACCTTGGTGGCAGGCTCCTTCCCTGGTTGGGGCTTGTGCAGGAGGCAACCAATCCATGTGTTTCTCTCACATTGATGTTTCTCTCTGTCTCTCCTTGACCCTTTCACTTTCCCTGAAAATCAATGGGAAAATATCCTTTGGTGAGGATTAACAAACACAAAATAACAAAAATAAAAATTAAATAATTACAAAATAATGATAAAAAATGGAATGTGATGTCATTTGAAGCAAAACCCCGGGTAGAAAGTTGAGGCAATAAGTGGTCCTTGCGGGCAGGTGAGCACCTCCCTACTCGGAGAAGAGCAGCCACATGTGTCATCTTCCACTGCCCCAGGAACGTGAGGATGTTGCAGAAGACCACAGAAATACCAAGCACGCTTCCTAGAGAAAGGGAAGGACCCCGTTTATTAACACTAGTGGACTCCGGTAATAATTTCCAAATCAGAGTGAAGAAACAGAGGGCTTCATTTTTTATAACCTTCTGGGATCTTTCTCTTGCAGATATGGTTCCTCCCCATTTCGTGACCTTACAGGAAGGCCCTCAGGTGTTGGGGGTCCCCAGGCCATACTCGATGATCTGTCCTGGGGCCAGCGGTAATACCCCCCCTCCAGAGAAGTGCATTTTTCGCAGTTTTTATGGCCTGACAGGCCTTGCAAGACCAATTTCCTCCTCATTCTCCCGCCCTCACCCTCCCCTTGTCCCACAGGCTTCTTTTAGCCTTGTGGAGAAACGACCATGGTATGTTATGGTGAATAGGGGTGACGACTGCTCTTAGCTACTTCCTGCTGGAAAGGGACACTAACCAAGGGGTTAACATCCCACTTCTTCCTCTCAAAGGGATTTGTAGGGAGTTCCACTGGTTTGTAGGACCATCTGAAGTTTAAAGGCTTTCCTGTCCAGTTTGCAGGCAGGCAGAGGTAAACAGTGGTCCTACATGCATAGAATGTCCCTGCAGGGGGCAGCAGGGGTAGGTGGTGTTTTCAGCCTTGGGGGTAGAGTTGCATAGTTCATCTGGGAGGTGACCTGTTGGATGTTGGCCCTGCTACTGCTGAAACAAATAGGAGCAGCATTAGTTAGCTGCACATTGGCCATGACAGGTCCTATTATTATTTTTTCCTTCCAATATACCAGGGGACACCAGGGGTAAGTGGTGTTTTCAGCCTTGGGGGTAGAGTTGCATAGTTCATCTGGGAGGTGACCTGTTGGATGTTGGCCCTGAGCAC